AGTTTCTCTCTCTCTCTCTCTGTATATGTGTATGTGTGCATGAACACATTTATGTATACAAATATACCTGATCTTGCTTTACTAGAGTTATCAAGATCAGAGAGGCATTTGCCAAGAGGCTAACCCACAGTTATTTTATTAGTCCAACTGCCTTTGTTTATACAACACACTGAATCATCGAACCATACTAGCTGGCTTCATTCAACCCACTGAGCCACAAATGAACCAACTACATTTTAGCCTAGCATGTTATGCAGAACCAGTTGAGGTTTGTAAAGTTAGCTCCACAAAGTCAAATTAAACTGCTAAAGGGACTGGTAATCAAAAATAATGTACTTTTATTACACCATCACCAACCCTGCATTTGAGAAACCTTAGCATTATTGAACAGATTAGTATATTTGATCTATAGATGTCAATAGCCTGAGTGTGGCGATACAGCACATCCTTGCCTGTTGTAACTTTGATCCAAATAGACCTGAGCCAATGCATGACAGCCCTCCCCCAGCATCTTTTGGATATGCTGGGCTGCAATTCCTATCATCCCCACCAGCATAAGCAAGTTCCATACTGTGTGGAGTAATGGAAATTATAGTCCAACACATTTGGAGGCACAAATAAACAGTGGAGCTTTATTAAATTGCTTTCCAAATAGATTCTGTCCCTAGATCCAATTATGCATAGGGTTCAATTAACTCCACCCATACATTTGTCCTTGTTAATGGACCCATTTTGCAAATCTGGTGCACTGAGCAAAAGAGAAAGCAAGCCTGAACTCCCTGCCAAGGTCTGCAACATAGAATATGCCTCCCAAACGCTGATTGTCTACAGCAGTGTTTCTCAACCTTAGCAACATTAAGATGTGTGGACCTCAACTCCCAGAATTCCCTAGCCAACCATGCTGGCTGGGGAATTCTGGGGGTTGAAGTCCATATGTGTTAACATTGCCAAGGTTGAGAAACACAGGCCTACAGTAAATAAATCATGTCTCCTGCTGCTTGCTGGCCAATAGGAAAACAGTGATGTCATGTAGTCTTGATACTGCTTTTCTGGTACAAGAGCCCATTGGATGCTAGATACTTTCTGAAGAAGTGGGTCAGAGTCTAATGATACTAAAACAGACTTTTGACTCAGTATGATTGTATATTGCTGGACAACTGGTAAGGAGATGTGAATTGTGTTGGTGGCTGGCTGGGTCATGCTTACGATGGGAATCTGGCCATGTACTTTCATTCCTTCTCATTCCTTCTTAACTGCCATAGAAAGAAGTGACTTGCATGTGTGAATAAACCATCACAGACCAAACAGCTCAAATTGTAAATGTCACCTCTCACTAGAGTGTTTCAGTAACACTTTCAGATGTAGCAGAACCAACAAGGAAGAAGTGTGTGGATATAAACCAGCGGCTGAAGTGATTAGCTTTTACACAGAGATCTGCTTTCGTTTTTCTTTATGCTTCAGCTCTATGGGCAAATGTTTCCAATTAATTTGGGAAGATGGGCTGGGATCTTCACAGGGCATCTCCTGAGCAAGCCCACCTCCATCTCCTTGGATCACTATCATCTATTGGCTTGCCCTACTGAACAGTTGTGTTGGATTGGGCCAAAGGGAAAAGTGCCAGGTGAACAGAGACTGCTAATCCTTCTCTTTCCTCCTATCTCTGTTCATTTAGTCATTTAGAGGGAGGGAGGTGAACATTAGAGCCTTGCTGGGGTTTGCATCTCCACAGATGCCTAAAAATAGGGACCTCAATGCCTACTTAAAGCACATATATCACTATACCTGTGAAGTGGGTGGATCCTGAAATGTTCATTTTATGTTATTGGTCAGTCTGTGTGTCAAAAGGATCTGCACCTTTTTTGCTCCCATGAACCTCAGAGCTCAACATTCTCACCAGATGGAGCAACTTGTGAAAACTTCGTAAATTAAATAATGTGTAAGTGGGTGCTGTCTCCTGCTGCTTGAAAAAAGAAATTGTTCTCTACCAGCTGGTCTACATCTGGTGGATGGATGCAACAGTTCATTTGGCAAAAGAAGGTTTTCTGTGTATCAGGGATAGGCAACTGTGTTCTCCAGAATCACTGGACTTTAGTTTCCATCAGTCTGCTAATGGCTAATGAGAAAGAACTCTGAGAGTTAGTCTATAGTCTAAAACTTCTGGGGGACATAACAGGACACCCGGTTGTGCAGGTTGCCTCAGTCTATAGATAGCCAGTCAGTGCCATTGGACCTAGTTGTAATGGACTTGCTTGTGCTGGATTTAGTGGAGTTATATTGGAGTAAAATCAGGAATCTTCTGTTTTCTGGTCTCTAAAGTAGTATAAAGTGCCTATCTAGCTTTCTGACTGGGTCTGTTGGACAAAACACTCTGACATATTTGCTCTCTAGTTTCCTATAAGGAAAGAAACTTTCACAGTAGGAAATCAAATCTGTCCTGTATCCTCAGATATGGTGTGGGAATTGCTCTGCATCCAATCCAAGATAGAAAAATTGGGGTTTTTTAGGGCTATTCTAAGCAAAGACATAGACTTTTCTGTATCCATTTGCTGCTGTTAGTGTTCATGGAGATTTTTGTAGCCCAAGTCTGGTATTCCTAACTAATTATTTCATATATCCTGCCTGTAGTTAAAATAAAGTAGTAGCAATAAGATTACAATGGGATTAGAGAAGCCTATGGAGGACAAAGCTATCAAAGATGAATAGTTATGATGGTTGTATATTGGCTGTGTTTGCATACATGTCCATGGTTGATTAACCATGACTTACCCAATTAACTGAATATTCTGCCTTTCCATGATGCATTGACTAAACCACAAAATAAATTCAGGTGTTTTAAGTGTGAACATGACCATTAGCAGTTGGTTCTGGGCCAGTATTCTGCTGAATACTACCAGCTGAAGTGGGGAGGAGGCAATAGCAAGAAGCAGCCATTGCCCTTGTGTTCTATATTTCTGCTTTCCAGAAGCATGTTTGGCTGCTGTAGGAAACAGGAAGCAGGACTAGATCAACCTTGTGCCTATTATTTTTATTTGATCCAGCAAGGCTCATTTTACATTCTTGTGTAACAATCCATTTTGCCTTAAAATCTCTAGAGAAAAATGAACTATCATTGGCCTAAGTCAGAAAGAATGTTCTCCCAAGAAAAGCACTGAAGAACAACCAGATATATTATCATGGCCATAACAGCCTTATGGGAAAAGAAAAGTCCATTATAATCCCCAAGGCTGATTATGGATTCTTTTTCCTTAGGGTGTGTTTTGTTGGGTTTTGGGGGGGGGGGCTTTCCATTGTTATAAATCCGGTTTGCAAGTGTGATGACCATTCAGAATCTGGAAAAGTTAAGGTTTTGCATAGATTTAAAGACATTTTCTGTAAACACGTTACATATAAATATGGGATATCCATTAGGGCAATATCTTTAACAGATCAGCTGCAGTTACATAAAATATGTGCAAACTTTAAAGCTTCCAAGAATTCTGCTAATGTGCAAAACACAATTAACCAGAAACTAGCTAACCACATTTTAGTCTCATGTATTATGCAAACTCAGTCTCTGTTTTCAGTTTAATTTTGCATGTTATGTAAATGCAGAAAATTGGGTTCATTGCATAAACCAATTGCTGGTCTGCAAGAGGACTGCAGTTGGTCCCTGGTGCAAGAAGAATTTTTAAGACTAAAATCTCAGCATGGCTGGCTAGGGAATTCTGGGAGTTGAAGTCCACACATCTTAAAGTTGCCACATTTGAGAAACACCGGTCTATATAAAGGAAAAATTAGTAGAACTGACAAACTTTAACTTAATAATGGAACAGTGTGCCATGAAAACATAGGCAAGATGGGTAAAATCAAGTAAAGGAGGTGGGGAAACATGGCTGATCTTTGAGTTAAGTCTCTACCAGGATATATTCTCAGATGGAGAGTTCATCCATACAACCTTGCTGTCACATGAAAATGCTTCACTAACCATTTGTAGGGGATATATCTTCATGATGTGACCTCCATTTCTATCTTGGTCTGCTGCTAAGGGAGCCTGAAGTTGATATAAGATGTTCTAATACAAAAGTGGTATTTGCAGTCCAGAACCCCCTAAACAGTGTGGAGTTGAGCTATTTCATCTCTCCCCCATGATCCATCCATAGTCAATTAAGTGCAAGTGTGTTTGCATGCTGAGTCTTGTCAGTGGGGAAGAGTTTTGCTGTGAGTAAGGAGCAGTGTGAAAGCTAACATGTGAAGAGGAAGATGGTGATGAGGGTGAAAGTGAGGAAGGCCAGCCCAAAGGTTTGCCTTTCTGTTAGCCAAATGAGGAAGCTGTCTCAGGCAACACATTTGAGGAATCATGATAAATCTGCAAGTTGTTATTTAGCATGTCATTATTATATTTTTACTGATTGGCTTTGGGTATTATGCACTTGTGATACATCCCTAGTTCAGGAGTAAGCAACTTGGTTCCATTCAAATCTTTTGGACTAACTCCTCCCCTCCCACAAATTCTTGTGTTTGGCTGTGGTGCCTGAGACTGGTGGGAACAGAATTCCAAACATCTGGAGGACATTAGATGGCCTTTTCTAATTTAGTTTTTCTTCAATTCTATTCTACTAATGTACGCGCATTTTGCGTAGTTGAACTTCATTTGGAATTTCGTGTTTAATATTGGACCGCTTTGAGCTGTCCACTTTAAAACTAGTTCTACCTGCAATACTTCTTTCTCAAAGCATCAATGTGCACACACAATTGGTTTTTTTTTTTAATTCCATGTCAGTTTATTAACACTGGTGACCGTGACAGGCTCAGGTGGAGGGCTGCTCTAAAAGAGCCTTAAAGGGAAGGGGAATATAACATTCAACAAAGAGGATACCATCAGACCCTTCAACAGCCTAACCAAAACCTGCATTCATTGTGCACACTAGGAAACTGTAAAGAGAAGGGGCGAAGAGATGAGATACATAAACTTCAAGGAGCCATATTCCTCTTGTCTCTGCTGCTTAGAGTCTGCTGCTGTTTCAAGGTTGTTTTTTCCTATTTTTGTAATCCAGGAAAACCTTCTTGAAAACAAAATACAGCAAAGTGGCAAAGCAGAATATGTGGTGCTTTGTAATAAAATAGAAAGCCAGCTCCCTTACTGTGTAAATAACATGGATAAAGATGAAGCAGAAAAAAAATAGGGCATACTGGTTCTGGGGCTGGAATAATTCATGGAGCTCTCGTCCAATCTGTGAGTGAAAGGAACAAAAAAGAAACAAAGGATCATGGTGAGACTGTTAATAGACCCAAGTCTGAGGCATAATCCAAAGAAAGTGAGCAATGCAATCTTATAAACATCTGTATTTCCCTAATGTATAGCATACTGTACCTGGAGGTTAAACTACATTTGATTTTTTGTCACATTATAAACAAGCATGCCTAGTCTGGCCATTGCTGGATTCTTTCTCTGAATCATCTCTTCCACTGGCTGAAATGTTCAAGACCACAAGGATGCCAAAATAGTTGACCCAAAGGTAGTTATTGTCCTCCTCAAAACCTCCCCTATGCGCCTTTTGCTTTGCAGGAAGAAGCAACCTAGAAATACTTTGACTAAACTAAATAAAAATAATGTACTGCATCATAACAGCATCTCATATGATCAGACATTGATTGTGATACTATTTCCTCACTTTCATCTGCTATGTCTGCCTCTTTTACTTCCTCCCCTTTAAAACTATCTTTGTACCCTGTGCCCTTTAGAAGGATGCACATCTCTGTTTGCCTTCTCCAAATTGCAGGCAGTAACTTTAATAGCCATAAAATTTGTATAGCTCTGAGTCAGATAGCCTTGGGATTTTGGCATCTCAGCCATTCCCCTTCGTTGTCTTTGCAGTCAGTCCAGGTCATGTCCAAGAAAAAGTACAGAGGAGTGAGTGACAGCCCTCCTCAGTAGAAGGCAATCTTCTACTGTTCTTTCCAAACTAGGCCAAAGCAATAGCAATTGCAGCATCTACCAAAGAGGAATCTCCATGGGAACATTGAGATGGACCCCTTCCAAAATCAGAAAACACCAGCCAAGCTCCCCTTTTCTTGGTTTTCAAGGCCGCTTCTTTCTGAAAGTTCATGCAAAGATTTTTTGAGGTTACCTCTCTATGATAAACTTGAACTGCCTTGATTGTCATTCACTCTTCCTGGGAAATTGCAGAATTCTTTACAACAGCCTTCCCCAAGCTGGTGGCCTCCAGTTGTGATGGCTTCGGTACATTTGGAGGGCACTAGGTTGAGGTAGGCTGCATTAAAGAAAGATCTATCATTATTAAGATAATAAACAGTGACCACACCGATTTGTAAACATAGATTTTAGTATGCTGGAACTAAGCTGTTGAAGGTTTTTATAGCTCAATACCAGCAACTTAACAATGGTCAGGAGGCTATAGATGAGCCAGTTCAGAACCTGGTTTCTATTTTTATCAAAAGGGTTTCTTATTTGTCTGCAATGCCTTCCCACTTACTGATTGAGAGGGAACCTTTTGGCGTAGCTGTTCCATTTTTTCTTCATGCTGACGTCGCTTTTCATTATCTTCATGCCTATATCTTAGCCTAATCATTGCACCATCCAATCTCATCTTCTCCAAGTCAAGATCAGCGGCTGTGATCTGCCTACTGTTCAGATGACCCATTCCTTCCAAACTGCTGGCCTCCCCTATCCTGGAGTATACTTCTGGTGGCATAGCATTGCCCCCTCTTTGCGTGGTGATTGCCACCTGCTCTGCTTGACTCTTATTGTCTAAGGTCTCTGTCATGTCATCAGGAAAGTAGGAAGAGCCTGGAGTCTCCCTTGCAGCATCCTGAAATGGAAACGTATGGCATAAGTCCTTATGTTTCAGCTATAGCATTCAGCCATAAAAACCAAAGAAAGGACCTGCTGGTTTAGGTCATGGCCAGTTTCATCCATGTTTTCTTTTTCTCATTAGCTGACCAAATGGCTCTGTCAAAAGTACAGGCATGATCTTGTTCCTGCTGGTACCTCCAGCAGCTGGGATACATGGAGCTTTCCAGGAATAGTGAGTTGAATTCTGCCAACTGGAATCAAAGAGGAAGTTTACTTCAAAACACTTTTTTATTCCACTGCTCTGAGAAGCAGGTGAGGTCATCTTGTATTGAATGAATGTTAAGATTCTTCTGCTGTGCTTTGCTGGTCTTAAAAAAACCCAGCTAGCAATAGCACATAGTTGATGTATTGCCTAATCTATTTTTAAAGATGTATCTATTATTAATTACTGTGGGACTAAATCCCAGCTACTGGGATCTGAAAAGTATTTCTTTATAAAAGGAAAAAATACAGGAAAGAAATAATTCAACATCTTTTTTGTGGATTTTTATTGTGTTTATGAATTTATGGTACCGTTGTGCATCTTCATTTGATAGTATGACTCACCCTGTTCAGTGAGGACTTCTATAAGGAAAGGCACATACAGCCAGTTTTATGCATTTTCATGGCCATGAAGGCTAACCCTACTCCCTGTCATCAGTGGCCCCAGCACCAAAGGACATTATGCTTATTCAGAAATAAGTGTGGAGCATCTTGGCTGTTTCAGGTCCTATTTTATGTTAAGGAACAGGATGCAATATAAGAACCCTTCTCACACTTGGTGAAGGTAGGCTAGTGAAGAAGGTGGAAAGTGCAAAGGAAGAACTGCCAGCAGGTATGGTCTTGTTCCCCTCTCCACATGTATAAGGAATGCAGACCAAATCACTAAAGCACTTCCCAGATGAAGTCTTTCTGCTCAGAGATGTCATTGTTCTGTTCCCTGGGGTAAAAGAAATGCTACCCTGGGGCAGGAGGGTCATTATGAAAGGGCAACCCAATGATTATAGAGACCTGGCTGAGAAAGGAGAAGGCAGTTGAACTCTCTCAGTGATGCAGCAAGCCAGGCTGGAGGGCAGGAAGGCAGTGTGGATGTTGTCTATAAGAAGTCCATCTCAATGACCAAAAGCTCTGTCCAGGAGAAGCTGCTAATGAATCCACACTATGTCAAGGTAAAGAGGGCTGGAGCCCAGAAGCCATTTCCAGGCATTTTGTTGAATAGCCTCCCTCTGGAACTTGGGCTGGCATCTGCCCTGTTAGCATTTCAGACACTGGCTGAAGCAGACATTTTCCAGAGACCATTTAGGGAATAACTAAATAACTGGATAAATAACTGGGTTTTTTTTAAACTGCTTTGAGTTTTATTATTGTTTATATATGATTATATTATTCATGTTTTTATTTTTGTTGTATACCTAGGAGTTATGTTGTACAAAATTAATTGATTAACTGAATCTGACATTTTTCCTATTTTGAGTCCCTGTTGCTGGGACACTGTAAGGATACTATTTGAGCACTGTCCACCCTTCTACATAACAGCCTCTCTTCTTGAGCTGGCTGGGGTGATTTCTGCCATGACACCTGTCTGCATTAAACTTCTTGTCATTGGGGGATTTCATCATCCATGCTAAGGCTGCGCAACCAGGAGTAGCTTAGGATTTCTTGTCTACCCCATGCAGCAGGGCACATGCTGGAAGAGGTATTCTGTTCAGCCACCATTTTTGCATTTTGATCTTTTAATCACCATTCTGTCTTTCTCATACCAAAGTTAGGGGATGGATGCCAGATAAGGTACTCCCTGGAGGCTAAGTGGTAGTAGTGGAAACTACCAAGCCACTACTTCAAGCAGGAAATGGGGGAATGGTATGAAGACCCAGAGAACCTCTGGAACAAAAGTTTGAGATCTTCTGCCATCCATCCATCTTGTGGGCCTCAGCATCACTGCAAATATGTTACTCTTTTATCACCTACCAGAAGAGGTGACTCATTACCTAATGGTAGGGCCAGAAAAAAGGGCAAAATGAAGACTTCCCTCCTTCACCTACCACATTCTTTCTCACTTACCGTCTTTTCCTTATGCTTTTTGGAATCTTTAATTGGGGTTATCTGCACAGCAAACTCAATTCCTGCCTGCATGTCCTTGAATTCTACATTGCCTCCTTGATAAGAATATTCAGATCCTTCCAGATTGCTAGTATGATCCAGATCTGCTTGAATCTCCTTGTCTGTGTGGTGCACGGACTCTGTCTCAAAGTTGGAGAAATCGGAAGATGAATGGGGTTCTCTGGATGTTTCCTGAGACAGATCAGAAATGGGGAGGACTTCTATATAAGCTAAAATAATAGCAGATGTAAGTCTCCTGCAGGAATGGAAAACATGTGGTCCTCCTACCTCCCTCTTCATTGTCCTGCTGGCTGAAACTTCCGAGAGGTATAGTTCAGACACATCTGGAAACCACAGATTCTGTACTCTGCTTTATAGGAACAATCCTGGAATGTGTTGTAATTGCCAAAGGGGGTGTAACAAAGTCATTAAGAAATCTTTCTCCAATTGTCTCTCCCCCCACCCCAGACTTGTTAAGACATGATCCCAGCCAGCATGGCCAAGAGACCGTTAACAGGAGTTGTTGTCAAACTACAGCTATTGAACATTGGGAGAGGTTGCTTTAATTTCTGGCTTAGTGAGTTATTTCAAAAAATATTGAGTGTTTTTTTTTAAACAAGTCAGCTAAAGATATTTACAATAAGAATAGAACATAGTCATGAAGGCAACAATAAAAGTTGTAGAAATGAATTTGCAAAGCTGAGATGAGCATAGTGAGGGGGAGAGTATTATGATTCAGCCAAGAGAAGTTCTCATATCCAGTATTTCTGCCAGCTTCCTAGATGGCCTCTTTTCAGGGTCAGAAATCCAAACTTGGGAATGTCCCCCAAAGAGGCACGGCAGTCGGATACTAGTTCCTCCCAGGCTTCAATTAAATAAATTCATACCAGCTCATCAATTGATCTCAAATTATTCCAGCCCACTGCTAATCTTATTCCTCCCCCTTCTTCCCACTCAACTACAAAAAAGAAAGACCTAAAAAGAAGAGCAGGAAATACCATCCCTTCTTTTAGCCAGTTGTCAGCAGGGCCTTTGGCCATGCCAGAGTGCTCTGTCAGAACTCTCCAACCCACGCACATTGTAGACCCACGATTTCAATAAGTGGTCGGTGTAACCTTCTCACCAATCTGAATAGGATATAAAAGTGTTCAACCCCTGCCTGCCTTGAGTTTATGTCAAATCTGCAAATGGGTGTTATTTGTGTAATATAGTGTCTCTTCTGTTTTCTTTAATGATTTGAAATGCTCTTTTTTTACAAGCTTTAACCCATAACCTACTAGAATGTCTTACCATTGCAGATCTATTCCCAGCAAGAAATGTACATCAGTCTCCGATTTTAAAGCAAAAGCCTCTATAGCCCCATTTGCCCCATCTAGAAGACCTGAAAGCCGTTGCCCCAGTTTAATGCATGCACACACACACACACACTCTCTCAAACTCAGGCCCAGATCTTCTCCTGAACTGCCACGGCAGTGATGTCAAAAAAGTTCCACATTGTGATGACATAATTTTCTGGTTACCACAACAGATAAGATGAAGTGTTGCTAAGGGATGAAGTATGGATTCCAGTCAATTTGCTCACATCTCACTGAAGGAGTCTTTTATATTATGTTAAAGTAGAACTAGAAATGTTATGAGGAATCAATGACATGGCCCACTCAATGATGTATTTTAACTCATTGTAATGGTAGTAGAATTCAGTTACTTTCTTCCACAATCCAGTTGAGGGGTGGGAAAAGGAAATTTTCCAGACATAAACATACTGTTCTCTAAATTACAATGATATTTATTTGCTATAGTGTTTTTAAATTAATGCTTTGTACTTACTGCTACCCCTTCATGGATCACTGCCTTGTCGTGGCGAAGGGGTTTGCGTAACTCAGTGAAGCCATG